TCCTTCCTTCCTTCCTTCCTTTCTTCCTTCCTTCTCAGAGTCTCACTTTGTCCCCCATGTGATCTTCTCTCACTGTAACTTCCGCCTCCCAGGTTCAACTGATTTAAATTTTGTATTTTTAGTAGAGACGGGGTTTCACCTCATTGGCCAGTATGGTCTCCATCTCTTGACCTCACGATCCACCTGCCTTGGCCTCCCAAAGTGCTGGAATTACAGGTGTGAGCCATTGTGCCCAGCCAACACAATTCTTTTTTGAGCACTTTCTACATAGGCCCTGGACTAATTGTCCAAAACAAAACAGTGATGGACCCTATAATCCCCTAGAAAATGTCTAAAACCGTATTATATTTGGGGTAAGTGATGGATTGTTGGGTTATTTTCTACATTCAGGAGTTGTCCTCTCTATTTCCTAAGCCTCATCGTGGAATAAACTCTACCATCCACCCTATGGCTGTTAAACTTGAACTTGGAGTAGAATATTCACCACTGTATTTCTCTAAGTATCTTAGATTAAGAAATTATTTGTCTTGCAGCCTCCCTTCTGTCTGCCCCACCATGCCGGGACATCGTTATTGAAATGGAAGACACCAAACCATTACTGGCTTCTAAGGTAGGCATTAGAGCTGATCATTGGTTGCTATCAGTTTTATCTTCCAGATGTCTAAGCATTTGGCGAATTCAGTCAAACAACCATTTCTTGCAATTATAATCATCATCAGTCAATCCATTTATTGAGGACTGAGTACAGACAAGAGCCTAAATCTTGCACTCATCAACAATTATGATGACATTTTGTAGACTAGTAGTCTTCAACCCTCGCTAATAAGCCACCCATGATACTTAAAATAATACCCATGCCCAGGCCTCACCTCCCAAGCGGGAGAGGGACCTAGACATCAGTATGTTTTTAAATCTCCTCGAATGATTTTAATGTGTGGGCAGGTCTGAGAACCCTGGGTGTGGACAGTCTGAGAAAGATCTTTTGCTAGAAAGTGAAGTCTCAGAAGCAAATTTATAGCATTGCAATCTTCAGATCAGAGATACATACAACATGCCAGATTCTTCCCCTACATAAAGCAGAAGTGTCATAAATTTCTAATGACCCTGTTTGTCAGTGTATGGGACACCCAGGTTTTTCTATTCACTGTAGTTTTGAAGTGAAGAAATTGATTGAAATACTCAAGGCCCTATTTTAAAACTAAGTATTCCAGCCAATTCTACATGAAGGAAAGGGGTAGAAGTCTCAGCCCAGAAAAAAAGGAAACACCAAATATCTCCCTGTTTCTCTTGGCATTTATGATGAATATTCACAGCATGTTTTAATGTGCAAACTAGCCCAAAAATGCATAAGATTGTACTTTAATATGTTATGTCCATAAACAGTGCCTTAAAAAATCTACTTCCTTCTCACTGCATTAAACTCACTAACAACTGGACCGTATTAAATCCAGTCTCCACAGCCAGCAGCGTGTTTGATTTGACTCTCTGGGAGTCCTACACAGTCACAAACGACAATGTCAAATTTCCCATCCCATATGCCAGAACTTCTCTGATCACTTTGTAAACCACCCCAAATATCCCTAGTAGGATAGCAGTACCCTTGGCAGAAGTTAATACACTTAAGATCTTTTCTGTAGATTTTTATAACTACTCTAGAAAAAGACAGTTGAAGTTCTCGCTGTATAATCTGCCTCCAGCTTGGCCATCTCTCATCGTCAGTCAATTCTTATTACGTGCCTTCGGTGCACTCAGTAGCCCAAAGTACAACTGAGGAACAGAAGTGGAAGGCTGAGTAGAGCAGATCATGAGGTCAGGAGATCATGACCATCCTGGCTAACACAGTGAAACTCCATCTCTACTAAAAATACAAAAAATTAGCCAGGTGTGGTGGCATGTGCCTGTAGTCCCAGCTACTCGGGAGGCTCACTGGAGAATCACTTGAACCCAGGAGGTGGAGGTTGCAGTGAGCCTCCCGAGTGCCAAGAGAAACAGGGAGATATTTGGTGTTTTCTTTTTTCTGGGCTAAGATTTTTCCCCCTTTCCTTCATGTAGAAGTGGCTGGAATACTTAGTTTTGAAATAGGGCCTTGAGTATTTCAACCAATTTCTTCACTTCAAAACTACAGCAAATAGAAAAACCTGGGTGTCTCATACACTGACAAACAGAGTCATTCAAGGAGAATCACTTGAACCCAGGAGGTGGAGGTTGCAGTGAGCTGAGATTGCACCACTGTACTCCAGCCTGGGCAACAGAGTAAGGCTCCATCTCAAAAAAAAGAAAAAAAAAAAAAAAAAAAAAAAAAAAAAAAAAAAAGAAAAAAGAAAGAAAGAAAAGAAAAAAAAAAAAAAAAAAAAAAAAAAAGAAAGAAAAAAAGAAAGAAAGGGGAAGGAAGACTGGTTGAAATCTCCAAAGATCTGAGTCCACCAGTTCATCAAAGTAGACATTACACATCTGTACAAAGTCAAATGAACAAAGTTGCGCTTTGAAAGAGCTAATGACAGGCTTGCTGATGCCCTGTATTACATGTGTATGTAATGTACATGTAATGTACATGTATTACCACTTCCTCAATTCAGGCTTTGTGTCTGGGTAAACCGAGGGAATGGCTCAAAAATAACTGTGCTGTTGCTGGGGGCTGGCGGCTGTGTCTTTGAGTGACAGTGTCACACTCCAGAAGCTCATGGCATTACTCTGTGATGTCCATGGGAATTCTCAACAAATGGGCTGAGCCCTATCACAAGAAAAGTAAGAAATAAGTCTCTGGGGCAAATACGTCAAGTGCTAGCCAGATAACGTGGACATGCGTACATGGCCATCTCAACAATTACCTTCCAATTCCAGTGCTTAAGCAGTTTGTCAACAGCACTCAGCAAAATGGCTTCTCCAGCGACAGTGCATGTATGTATGATAACCCAGTGCATGAGGCTGCCTGGGACTGCGGGACCTCAGCCTAAAGACTCGAATCCTTCTTACAATTCTTTCTATTAGATTTTGGAGTGAAAACTGATCTTTAAACAAATGTGATTGTTTTAAGCCTAAAAGAAGAATCTTCTGTGCCATTTAATGATTTGATTCCCATTGCAAGTTTATTATTAGATATAATAAAGCAAGTCACATCAGTTGTTTCCATTACCTTTCCACATGCACTAATGATCATCTGTGCATGAATAAATTCTCCCATACTAATGCTAAATCTTAAAATCAGCAACTTGTCTTAAATAATGCCTTTTAAATCATGAACGGTTCTTTTCCTTGAAATGGGTTTGAATTGTGAACAAACGGATTCTAAAAATCTGGTTTCAGGAACCACTGAGAATGTAAGAGTACCTTGGGAATAAAATCACTCCCTTCAAAAATCTCAATTCAGCTGCGATAATTTAACGCTTAATTTTGCTTTGGTATGAATCTAATAGAAAGAATTGATACTTCTGTCTTTCACTCTGCCTTTCTTGGCAATTCCCTCGTGCTGAACAAAAATCAATCTGGAAAATAGCAAGGGGCACCTACAGAAGGCCCTCTCACATGGCAGCCAGAGGAAGAGCCCTTTAGGAATGAACATAAAGTTAGGAGCTCAGAAAGGGGTCTAGGTAGCTTGTCTTCAAGCTGCTCCTGAAAACGAGCTTGGCTAATGCCCCAGCAGATACCAGGATGACACTCAAGCCTCCCTTCCCAGTTCTTCATTCTCTCATCTCCTGGATGGGCCCTGAGATCGGGTGGGTTCTCCATGAAAAAAATTACATGAAAGGATTTGGCCAGTGGGAAAACTTGACATCCTCATATTAGAGCAGTTTGGATGGATGAGTATTTATTTGGTGCTGTAATATAGGCATGGCGGCAGGGATACCTACATGATAACATTTCAGTCAAACATATCTTGTGACAGGACAGTTTTTTGTGGGGAGGAGAATTGACCAAGTTTGGGAATATATTTTAGAAACTAAATGGGATGAAAGGTGTGGGGCAGCAGGGTGAGCAGCTCTACAACCCCGCCCGTGTGAGCTCACTGCTAACTGACTGGGAAATGTCTAACTCCATCGAAAACTTGAGATGGTGGGGGAGTTGGAGGGGTTGGGGGGTGCAGAGAAGGTGCTACTTCCTAGGCTTTCATTGTCATACTGTGTGTAACCTTTTGCATATTTTCAGAAAAGAAACCAATAAGATGTGTTCAGTTGTGGGCTCATCTTGACTTAGAATAATTTAAATAACCCCTCAAAATGTTGATAATGTAAGGCATGCATGAAAAATAATTTTTCCTTCTTTCTTTCTTTTTAAACCTCATGTTTCTGGGGTCTCCATATCTGTGTGACCTGTTACATGGTTTGCCTTCTTCCTGACCCAACATGTGCACGAGCAGCTGACAGAAAAGGTAACTATGGTATACATTTTGCTACATTTAAGATTTGTATATTTTCTGCCCAGAATTTTTATTATTATTTTATTTTTATTTTATTTTATTCATTTTTGAGACAGAGTCTTACTCTGTTGCCCAGGCTGGAGTGACGTGTCGTGATCTCGGCTCACTGCAACCTCTGCCTCCTGGGTTCAAGCGATGCTCCTGTCTCAACTTCCCAAGTAGCTGGGATTACAGGTGCACACTGCTATGCCCAGATAATTTTTTGCATTTTTAGTAGAGACAGGGTTTCACCAGGCTGGTCTCAAAACTCCTGAGCTCAGGCAATCCCCCTGCCTTGGCCTCCCAAAGTACTAGGATGACAGGTGTGAACCACCGTGCCCGGCTCTGCCCAGAATTTTTGTGGGAATAATTTTTTTCTAAATCTAGGGGGGCTGGGCACGGTGGCTGTCTCCTATAATCCCAGCACTTTGGGAGGTTGAAGCGGACAGATCACTTGAGGACAGGAGTTCGAGATCAGCCTGGCCAACATGGGAAACCCTGTCTACTAAAAATACAAAAATTCTCAGGTGTGGTGGTGGGTGCTTATAATCCCAACTTTTCAGGAGGCTGAGGCATAAAAATCACTTGAACCTGGGAGGTGGAGGTTGCAATGCAACGAGCTGAGATTGTGCCACTGCACTCCAGCAGTCAGTGAGACTCTGTCTCAAAATTTAAAAATAAAAAAGAACTAAATCCAGGGGTAGATTGCTGGACCCATAAAGGGGAAGTAATTCTGTATAAGTATGTGTAACACACCCACATTCATTCTCTCTCTCTCTCTCTCTCTCTCTCTCTCACACACACACACACACACACACACACACACACACAAATAAGCATAAAATGTAACATATAACATGAATAAGAAGCAGCCTTTCAAAGCCACTCATGCCTGTAATCCCAGCACTTTGGGAGGCTGAGGCGGGCAGATCACAAGGTCTGGAGTTTGAGACCAGCCTGGCCAATATGGTGAAACCCCAACTCTACTAAAAATACAAAAAGTACCGGGGCATGGTGGCACGCACCTGTAGTCCCAGCTGCTCGGGAGGCTGAGGCAGGAGAACTGCTTGAACCCAGAAGGCAGAGGTTGCAGTGAGCCGAGATAGAGCAAGTGCACTCCAGCCTAGGAGAAATACCAAGACTCTGTCTCAAAATATAAATGAATAAATAAATAAATAATAAATAAATAAAAGCTTTTCTTGCCTCTTCTTCCTTCTCCTAAGACTGAATAGGAGGCTGTATTGCAGGTGACCTTCCGTTTTGTTTGTTTGTTTTTTGATGGTTTTTTTTTGACAACATTACTTTTTCCAAGGCAGGTTAAAATAAGCAATGGGTGGGTCTGATGAGAATCTATTCTTATAAATCTGATTGGGAGGCCTCTATAGTTTGACAGTCTTCCACAAGTGACTCTGACATGCTGTCCTTCTGCCCAACCAAGAGCCACCCATCAAAACCAGAGATTCCCAACACTGTGCACATTGGACTTTCCTGGGGAACTTCTGAAAGCATATTGGATGCCCTGGTCTCAACCAGGCTGATTGAATCAGAATCTCCTAGGATAGGTCGGGAGCCCTGGTCTAACTGAACCATGCCTCCCTCCTTTCGTTTCACGTTTTATAATTTTCAAAGCTCTTTCTCCTAAAGACCCCATGTGATTTCCAGAACAGCTTTTGGAGGTAGATGAAGGCAGCATGTGAATGCTTTGTCCATTGTGTTATTATTCCCTTCAGTGGATGAAGAAAATTGATGCTCAGAGATGTTAAACAACTTGCCCAAGCCAGTACAGCTGGTAACATAGGGTATGGCTTATAAAATAAAGGAAGGAACTTGAATTAAAACCAGTTTTTCCAATTCTTAGCTAGTGAGCATTGTATACAAGGCATTACCGGGTAAAAGGGCTAAGAAAATGAGATAGTAGAAAACACACATTGGAGGTTTTCTTTAAATTTATATGTATATGTAAATATCAAGTCAACAGAATAAAAATGTAAAAAACAACAAATTAATAGATTGTGTCTAAAGGACATAAGAACATTATCTAGTATGACAGTGGGCATTAAAGCCAAACACATTTCATTGGCCAAGAATGGTCATTTCACCTCTAGCTTCTGAGTAGAAGAATCATGAATGCTTTTCTGTTATGCATGTAAACAAAAGTCATATAACCTCACCTCTAATAGGGTCAGAAGAACCTATTTCTTCATACCTATTACACATGCATTTTCCTGCGTAGATTGGAAAGCCAGGTCATCACTAAAGATTTTTCCATTTTGACATGTCTTTAGGAGGAAGAAATCATGGACTGGTGGAGTAAATTCTATGCTTCCTCGGGGGAACATGAAAAATGCGGACAGTATATTCAGAAAGGCTATTCCAAGCTCAAGGTACCTGGATCTATGCTGCTGTGGGTGGGGCATTGACATCCTTTAAAACTGGCCACAGGCAGAGCAAAGAGGATGACTAAAAGGTTCCTTGGCTGGGTGCTAATGAGCAGGGGCCAGGAAAACCTCTGCCCTCCCGGAGAGCCCTCTTGCATGGGTTTTGGTGGCTTTGCCAAGATTCCAGAACTTGAGGACAGCTGTTGAGTTATGGTTACATGACTGCCACGTTGGGCTTGGAGGCATCTGGCAGACAGTTGGGAATGGGCTGGTACCACACTAATTAGACCACGATGATCCAGTTTGACTCAGGGAAACCCAGAAGTCAGAGAGCTCTTTGCAGAATGACACAAGATGTCAACGTGCTTCATTGTGTACTTTGAACAGGGCTTGGTTTCACTCGCTGAAAAGTCTAGTCTGTCACATGTATGCAGCATAAAATCACAGCCATGGGAACATGTACCCAGGAGGAAGACAAGTGGCTGAGCTCGGCACGGCTGACTACCTCTGAGCTTTCTGTTCACGTTTTGAATTTTTCAGTTCTTCATTCAATTTTCAGCCTGTAGTGTACTCAAGTAGAAGCAGTGCTAAAGTTTTCAGAACAATGCGTATGAGAAAAAAAAAAAACTTCAGAATGAGAAATATCTAGTCATTGAAATAATTTTCATGGTATTGGCATAACCTCTCAGTGTAGCTTAAGAAATACTAGTATGTAAAGCACCATTACTTCAGAAAAATGATCTGACGGGGCTGAGGGATCAGTTTCACCATCCATCCTCCCTCAATCCTCCTTCCTTCCTGCCTGCCTTCCCTCCTACCTTTCCTTCTTTCCTTCTTTTCTTCCTTCCCTCTCTTCCTCCTTCCTTCCTTGCTTCCTTCTTTCTTTCTTTACTTTCCTTCCTCCTTCCTTTCTTTACTTTCCTTCCTCCTTCCTTCCTTTTCTTCCTGCCTTCCCTCCCTTCTTCCTCCCTCCTTCCTGCCTCCCTTCCTTCCCTCCATTCCTCCTTCCTTCCTTCCTTTCTTCCTGCCTGCCTTTCTTCCTTTTCTTCTTCCTTTCCTTTCTTCCTTCCCTCTCTCCCTCCCTTTCCTCCCTCCTTCCTTCCTTCTTTTCTTTCCTTACTCTCCTTCTTTCTTTTCTTCCTTTCCTCCTTCCTTCCTCTTCCTCCTGCCTCCCTTCCTTCTCTCCCTTCTTCCTCCTCTACTCTTCTTGCTTTTTAAATTGAGACATAATTTGCATACAATAAAGTGATCCATTCAACAAGTTGTCATTATTGTATATAGCCTGTGTGAACCACCACCCAAAACAAGACAGAGAACTTTTCCACAACCACAGAAAGCTTCCCTGTGTCCCCTTCCGTCAATTTTCCACTATCCTCATCCCTCCCAAGAGCAACTGATCGGATTTCTCTCACCATAAACTGCTTTTGCTTGATTGTACACTTGCTCTAAAGGGACGTGTATGATTTATGTTTGGTGTGTCTGGCCCCTTCAGCCCCATGTTGTAGTTTTGAGACTCCTCATGTGGTTGTGTGTATTCATAGGTTGTCCCTTGTCATTGCTGAGTAGCATTTCGTTGTGTGGATATGCCACAAGTCGTTTTTTCTTTCTCCTGATAATGAAGCTGCCATGAACATTCTTGTACCTTGTGTACGTGTTTTCACTGCTCTTCAGTAAGTGCCTAGGAATGGAGTCTCTGGATCGTGGAAGAGGTGACTACTTAACTCCATAAGAAACTGCCAGACATTTCCCAAAGTGGTTGTATCCGTCTATATTCCCGCTGGTGATCTGGGAGTTCCAGTTGCCCCATCTACAACCTCATGCCCACTTGATACTGTCAGTCTTTTTAATTTTAGACCTTACCTGCATGTTAATGAAAAATTAAGACTATGCTGATGGTTTTCAGATATATGATTGCGAACTAGAAAACGTAGCAGAATTTGAGGGCCTGACAGACTTCTCAGATACGTTCAAGTTGTACCGAGGCAAATCAGATGAGAATGAAGATCCTTCTGTGGTCGGAGAGTTTAAAGTGAGTAAGATGTATGTGTTGGTGCTGCTTAAAATCCACTTTCATTTTCGATACAGATCTAGGATAAAGGACAACCAGGGCCTGGGGAGGGCCATGTCCTGCAGCCTCTGAGGGTTGCTGGAAGGTGCCAGAAAGGAAAAGGGGGAGGGGGAGGGAGAGCCGGGGCACTCTGAGCCATCTTCGTATCTCTTCCTGCCGCCCTGCTCAGGCCAAGCAGCCTGGAATCGTAAGATGCAGTTTCTCCAAGATCTGGTTCCTGTCCCCATCCCACCGCCCCGACCAGGCTTTCAGCAGGATCATCATGACAACTTCCCACGTGACAGTCCTCGTCACCTTTCTGATCACACTCCTCTCCAGCCTCCCAGCAACCAAATCTGATCTTTTCTCTGGACTACTTAAAGGCTTGGCTTGGGTTTCCACAGTCAAGCTGCAACTCCTTCCAAAGGCAGAGCCAGGCTTTCCCAAGCTACATGGTCCCCTGCCTCCCTTCCCCTCACACACTCCACCCTCCTGCCTGGGAGAGCCTCACCCAAGCCCCGGACACACCTTGTCCTCTCGCAAGTCAGAGCCTTGGGACAGGCTCTTCTTCCTTCCCTGGATGCCCTTTCCACCGCCTCTGTGGTCTGACAAAGTCCTTCTCATTCCTTTAAGCCCCAGCTCAAATGTCACGCTCTTTGTCAAGTGTTCCCTGATTGCTTCAGGCAATGTGACTCACTCCTGCTCTGGGCTCCCACAGGCCTGGGTTCATGCCTCCATGAAAGCATCTTTCACATGGAAAGTATCTGCTGTTATAATTGCCCCTCCCTGCAACCACGCTCAGCAAAGCCATGCAAATGTGCGGCTGCTTCTTAATCCTTTGCCTGCAGCAGATGTTGCTAAGGGACCAGAGGATGATGACCAACTCACGGTCTCAAATCCTTCTCAGTACAGCCTCCCACCACGCAATCACAAATGGCGCAAGAGCCAACCCTACTGAACATCCCTATGCTAGATGGGAGTCACTGAATTCTTGTGTGGGTCCCCAATACCTGGAACATAGTAGGTGCTTATTTTATGCTGCTCGACTGAATGAAGACAGCTGGAACTGAGACCTATACGTTCTGAATCCAGCTTCAGTGCTTTCTCCTGGGTTCATGGCAAAATACTTGGCTTCTCCAGCAGTTGTGCTGGCTCACTCCTTCAAAATGCATTTCTATGTTAGGCCTTGGAGATAAGGTGATGAACAAGATCTAATGCCCCCACTCATCCATCTCCAGAAGCTCGCAGCCTATGGAAGGATATAGACAATAAATAGATTATCTCAATGCAGAGGCCAGTGCTGCGACAGGGGTGAGTAGAGGGTTGGATGAGAGCACCCAGAGGACATACCCAGCCCAGGAGCAGTCAGGGAGGTTTCCTGGAGGAAGTGACGCCTTTCAGCTGAGATCTGAAAGACAAAAAGGAGTTTGCCTGGGAGTGGGAGGTGAAGTACAGAGGTGCTGCAGGAAAAGGGGAATCACTGTTAGTATTTCACTGGATTTAAAAAGTAATTATTGTTCTTCCTATCTTCAAAGAATGTCGCATTTCACTCTTTCTCACCACCACCCTCTGCATCACACTGGCCCACATTCTCCTCTGTCCTCTCCCCTGTGAGCTCTCAAATAACTTGAGAATCATTTCACCTTCCCTACTGGAAATATGCAAAGTGCAATATACATTGTTTCTTTCACAAAAGGCAGGCAGCCTTCCATCCTCCAATCTCACACCCCTGGGGGAGGAGGGGACTGCCCAGGAGCCCTCTGCCCGGGCCACCCAGGGTCCTGTGAGTCCATCTGTGTCTCTCTCTTAGGGTTCCTTTCGGATCTACCCTCTGCCGGATGACCCCAGCGTGCCAGCCCCTCCTAGACAGTTTCGGGAATTACCTGACAGCGTCCCACAGGAATGCACGGTTAGGATTTACATTGTTCGAGGCTTAGAGCTCCAGCCCCAGGACAACAATGGCCTGGTAAGAGTTTGGGTGTGGGGCCTTCTCCTGTAGCAAGATAATTACAGTCATCAGGAGCAGTAATTGTCATGTTCTTTCTTTCTGGGCGTCTGTTATCTCACTAGGGGAAAGATACTCCATCAAAACAATGTATTCAGGAGGATTGTCCCCATGGGGATTTATCTAAGAGCTGCAGGGGCTTAAGGTCCCCTGGTTCGTCCTTCTCATTTTACAGGTGTGAGCCAGGACTCCCCACCACCACCACCCTGCCGCCACCCCTGCACCCACACAGCTGGCTGTGTGCCACCCAAATGGGGAGCATTGCTCCCTCGTCTTCGGCACGGGTGCCATGGCGGCCACCTTGTCATCACCTGGGAATGGGTGTGGAGGCAAGCTGAGTCTGTCCCTGAACTTGACTTCACCTTGTGCCTTAGGCTGATGTAACATCCCATCTATTTTGTCCCCACAGTGTGACCCTTACATAAAAATATCACTGGGCAGAAAAGTCATTGAAGACCGAGATCACTATATTCCCAACACTCTCAACCCAGTCTTTGGCAGGTAATGTACATTCCTAAATGTTTTTCTGGCCGTCATTTCTCCACAGAACATGAATGAAGACATTAATGTGTGTCCAACTCTGTTCTAGGCCCTGAGACTATGACTTGAACTAAACATTCTAGACAGGGAGCAGGTAATAAATAGATAAACCCAAAATAAAAGAATTTCACAGAAACGAAGGAGCTTGGTTCTGATAGCTTGCGGGGTAGACAGGTAACAAGTACTAGCTTTACGGGAGCACCAGCCAGTTGGAGTTTTTCCAGGGACCCCCCTCCCACCTGGCTGTCTGTGGAGCTGTTTATATAAAACATCTCAAAAGTCGTACAACTCTGAGTGCTGTTGTTACCATTTCCATTTTATTTTTATTTTTTTGAGATGGAGTCTTGCTCTGTCGCCCAGGCTGGAGTGCAGTGGCGCGATCTCAGCTCACTGCAACCTCTGCCTCCTGGGATCAATTGATTCTCTTGCCTCAGCCTCCCAAGTAGCTGGGATTACAGGCATGGGTCACCATACTCAGCTAATTTTTATACGTTTAGTAGAGACAGGGTTTCGCCAGGTTGGCCAGGCTGGTCTCGAACTCCTAACCTCAAGTGATCATCCCGCCTCAGCCTCCCAAAGTGCTGGATTACAGGTGTGAGCCACTTCGCCCAGTCGATCATTCCTATTTTACAACAGAGGAAACTGAGGCACAGAAAGACTGTTAAGAGTGAGGATTTGAACTCAGAGCATCTGACCCCAGAGTCTGTGTGGCACGCCACAGTCTAATTTCCATCTAGATGTCAAACTTATTAGCTGCTCAGGGCAGGGATTACCAAGCTGACCATACAGGTGAAGGAAATGGCTCCCAGAGCTCTGTCAATAGAGGTGGGGTAAGTGATGAACCGAGATTTAGCTAGAAATTCTGCTGACTCCAAGCCCTGTGCTTTTCCAACTGCCTTGGTGGCATTTCACATTTGTGGCAAAGCCATCACCTGTAGCAAAATGTTCTCTGTCTAAAACGTTTGTGAAAATGACGTTTTGTTCTCAGAACCTTGCTGAGTGAGAGAATACTGTGTTCTCATTTGCTGCGTGGCATATATTTTTATTTCTGGCTTTACTGTTTTTTCTATACACTTCTTTTCTTCTTGAGTTTGTTGGTTTGTAGCCTTACCTAGTCTTTCTTTCTCCTGTGTGACACACGCATGCCTGTGCGCACGTGCACACACACATACAGTGTCTGCACACCCAAGGCCACACGCCTGGGCCAGCGAATGGAAGTAATCCTCTGGCACCGCAATATGATCGTTTTCCTTTTCTTCCACTGATCCAGCCCCGAGGTCTAGACAGGAAAAGGCACGCAGGGCAGGAAGGAGGGCTTCTGCGAGGGAGACGGGGAAGCAGGGAAAGCCAGCTTTGAAGGGAGAAAGGCAACCCTGTCTGAATTGCTTGTCTCAGAGGAGCCAGGCACAGGCTTAATTAGGTGGCAGAAAAAGTCTTGCTCGGGGTCACCCTGGAAGGAAGCTGTGCTGTCAGGCTCTGCTCGGCCAATCGCTGTCTGGCAGGTGGGCAGACTTCCCCTCATCCAGCAGGGTGGAGCCAAGGAGACGCCGGTTCTGCAGCCCCTCAGATGGCTCCGGTCCATGGCCTCAGTCTTAGGGGGTAGCTTTCTTCTCAGCAGAGACTCTTGGGGACTCTGGGACAGGAATTCAGGAAGGAGCAACCTTTCCTATGTGTGTGGCCATTACTCAGAGTCCTATCCATCATGGCAGATTGCATTCAAAAGAATATCAGTGTTTTCCACAGGATATTAATTGATAGTCCAAGAAAAAAAAACATTCCTTAGTGAAACCAAGACACTTAAGTTTAAAAAGATTATAGGGCTGGGTACAGTGGCTCACGCCTGTAATCCCAGCACTTTGGGAGGCCAAGGCTGGCAAATCACAAGATCAGGAGATCCAGACCACCCTGGCCAATACAATGAAACACTGTCTCTACTAAAAACACAAAAAAGAGCTAGGTGTGGTGGTGCACACCTGTAATCCCAGCTGCTCAGGAGGCTGAAGCAGGAGAATCACTTGAACCAGGAGGCAGAAGTTGCAGTGAGTCAAGATTGCGCCACTGCATTCCAGCCTGGTGACAGAGCAAGACTCTGTCTCAAAAAATACATATGTATTATAATTACAGGACTTCTCAGAACCTTTAGTTTGTCCAGAAGAACTGCAAAAGAAGTGGTTCTCAACCTTATTTAACCAAAGAATTCTTTCTCCCAGAGACCACATGCGATTAGTTTCTTGGAATCTGGGATTGGAAACGGGACGTTTTGGGGCACATGTGTGTAAGGTGCTTCATGTATTATCATGACTGAAGCATCTTTTCTCATATCCATTTTCTGCTCAAATGAATCAACATTCCTGGCTCTTTGGGCAGGAACCAGTCCATGCACCAGAGTGCACGGAGAAGGGGAGGAGGCTTCTCATAGCTTCTCCTTCAATACAATGTATTGAGCACCTTCTCTGGAAGCGCCCCCTCTGCGGACAGTGCAGATACAGAGCCCAGAGCCCACCCTCTGGTGTACACTGCTCACTCACTACAGAAAGCACTGTCTGATTCTTTATCTTCATCTCAGAAGTGTTTGCATTTTAATGTGGGTTCTTCAGAAAAAGCCTAAAAAACTGCAGCCAAGGGCAGACCCAGAGGGTCTGGGAGGAGGGAGGAGGGGAGAGGCTTCAGGGCACCCTGCACATCACACCTGTGGTGAATTGCACTCACTCCCCTCCCCTGTGCTTCTGTGTGGCGAGTCAAAGATGTTCTATGGGGCAGTGGTGTTTGTTGAGGCGGAGGAGGGAACCTAGAAGGGGCACAACTAGGGAGCTGTAAGTCAGGGCACTTGTGCCTTACTCATCTCCGAGCTGACTGGAGGTGCTCAGGTGAACAGCTAATGGGCATGTGATGATAAAATTAGTAATATCATTATACATCGTCATTATTATACTGGTGTTGGAGCAATGCACTCATGCCAAATGCTCTCTAAATATTTCTTCACTTGGCCGGGCGCGGTGGCTCACACCTGTAATCCCAGCACTTTTGGAGGCCGAGGCAGGCAGATCACCTGAGGTCAGGAGTTCAATACCAGCCTGGCCAACATGGTGACACCCCATCTCTACTAAGAATACAAAATTAGCCAGATGTGCTGGTGCATACCTGTAATCCCAGCTACTCCGGAAGCTGAGGCAGGAGATTCACTTGAACCTGGAAGGCAGAGGTTGCAGTGAGTCAAGATTGTGCCATTTCCCTCCAGCCTGGGCAACAATAGTGAAACTCGGTCTCAAAACAAAAAAAAAAAAGCTTTCTTCACTTGATCCTTCTAGCAACACTGGATTGAGAGGTGTTATTATCACCACTTTACAGATGAGAAAACTTAGCACATAGAAGTAGCTGGTCTAGAGTCCCGCAGCTGGTAAGCAGGAGAGGTAGGATTTGAACCTAGCATTTAAACTCACCCTGGTTATCCTACTTGGATGTCCTCCAGCAGCCATAGCATGCATGGCCTGGGGATTCCGTGCACAGAACCTGGGTTTTTGTGAGGGACCCGGATAGATCATGGAGATTCTGACGTTGTATTTGTTTATTTAGGATGTATGAACTGAGCTGCTATTTACCTCAAGAAAAAGACCTGAAAATTTCTGTCTATGATTATGACACCTTTACCCGGGATGAAAAAGTAGGAGAAACAATTATTGATCTGGAAAACCGATTCCTTTCCCGCTTTGGGTCCCACTGCGGCATACCGGAGCAGTACTGCATGTAAGTTGCTTTGATCATACAAGAGGCACTTTGCTTCCTCTGACATCAGCACTTGGGGAGGCCTGGGCCCTCTACCTTAGTGCCCTCCTTCACTGAGACGCTGCTCCTGTCACTCAGTGAGGTACGAATTTCAAGCACAGGATTATTTTAGGCAATCTCAGGGCCACTGCATGGTGCCCGTTCACATTACAATGTGTGTAAAGCATGGTAGCTGGAGCAGTGCCGTGCGCTGGGAAATGGCACGGGTAGCAGCCCGGAACACCAGTTCCCTTGCTCTCCCTCATTGAGTCCCTCCTGCATGTCAAGGACTGAGGGCTGGCCACGTTTGGTGGCAGGGATTTCCTGCCCTTAGGAAATAGAGATTCTCTGTGCCCTCTACTTAATCAATTTCAGGAAGTCTCTCTTCCCCTGCCTGCTATGCAGTGTCTTTCCTCAGTATCTGATGAGACATAGCTTGTAATTTCTAGTTTATGAGTTTGCCTCTTGTGACTAGGGTGATCTCAGTCAGACTCCTCACTTTTACAGGAGGAAACTGAGGGCTAAATAGATAAATAAAATATTAAATAAATAAATACATTTGTTTCGCTGAGGCCAAAATAGCATGTGGATTCTTAGTACTCTGAAATAGATTTCTATGCCAAGGTCAGAGTGTAGCAGGGATTCCCTGCTCCCTGTATGGGATCACCTGAGAGTACATGAGCATGTGTGTGTGGCTCCGAGAAGAACCTACAGGCTCTGCCCTAACTCCAAGCCATGTGATGCTGTTCGCAGTTCTGGAGTCAATACCTGGCGAGATCAACTGAGACCAACACAGCTGCTTCAAAATGTCGCCAGATTCAAAGGCTTCCCACCACCCATCCTTTCCGAAGATGGGAGTAGAATCAGATATGGAGGACGAGACTACAGTTTGGATGAATTTGGTGAGTGCCTAGCTGTGGATTGTAAACTAGTACAAAGTATAGTAACCCAAATATGTTGCTGGGTTTGGCGGTGTGAATAGACAGAGCCAGTGCCCTAATTATACCACATGAGACTCCGCGCACATGACACTATCTAACAACAGCCACAGTAGAGTTCTGCTGTCAAGTGTCAGAGTGCACACATTTTCTTGACTGTCCTATGTTTTACTTGCCCTTTTTAGATCATAGCCATTTGAGCTGAACACAAAGTACTAGTAATGAACTAATTTCCATAATCAGCTCAAAAATGCCCAGATGGTAGTGCAGGAATTTCCCTTCCAGGTTTATTCCATCATTGGGTCCAGCCCTTCTTGCAGAAGCTTCAGGGATGTTGTGGTTGGCTTGAAGAGCCTGCTAAGTTCCCATGTGGCTTGTGTCCAAGCTTGGGTCTTGCTCTTTCCTAAGCAGCAATTTATAATACAACCGGTCCTGGAGCATCAACAGCTAGCCACACTATGACAAAGACTGCAGTTAGCATCATAGAGCATGCGAGCTGTGCTTCCATATTTTGCATGTGAGTTAGATGCAAAAGGCCACATAACTTTTGCCTGGTTCTTTTGAGACCCTCACTCTGGAGGACACGATCCACGTGTAAGGAGTCTGGCGGAATCTGCACCCAGAGCAGACAGTGGAGGGTGCATGGGATGTCCAAGGGGAGCTGGACAAAGGTGCACAGGAAGAAAAGTGCTTTCTGCCCCTCAAATTGATTCTTGACATTGTAAAAAACTGTTTTGAGGCCGGTGCGGTGGCTCACACCTGTAATACCAGCACTTTGGGAGGCTGAGGCGGGCAGATCATTTGAGCTCAGGAGTTCAAGACCAGCCTGGCCAACATGGTGAAAGCCCATCTCCACTAAAGGTATGAAAAATGAGCCAGGCCTGGTGGCACACGGCTGTAATCCCAGCTACTTGGGAGGCTGAGGCACAAGAATGGCTTGAATCCAGGAAGCGGAGGTTGCAGTGAGCCAAGATTATGCCACTGCACTCCTGGGTGACAGAGTGAGACCCTGTCTCAAAAAACAAACAAAAAACCCCTGTGTTTTGTCTTTCCATTTTAAAGAGGACTTGGTATCAGGGATGATTAGATGTTTAAGAAATGTTGCCGGGCGCGGTGGCTCACGCCTGTAATCCCGGCACTTTGGGAGGGCGAGGCGGGTAGATCATGAGGTCAAGAGATCGAGACCATCCTGGTCAACATGGTGAAACCCCGTCTCTACTAAAAATACAAAAAATCAGCTGGGCATGGTGGCACGTGCCTGTAATCCCAGCTACTCAGGAGGCTGAGGCAGGGGAATTGCCTGAACCCAGGAGGCGGAGGTTGCGGTGAGCCAAGATCGCGCCATTGTACTCCAGCCTGGGTAACGAGCGAAAACTCCGTCTCGAAAAAAAAAAAAAAGAAATGTTGATGCTGCTCCTAACATGTGAACTTGCAAACAGGATTGGAAATAAATCGGGAAGGATCATAGTCTAATGGTTAAGGATACTCGCAAACAATCAAACTCCCCCCAAAAAAGCTGTATCAGTCACGAGGATTGTTCCAGTTACTACTGATACATAACAAATCACCCCAAAACTTAGTAACTGAGAACAGCCATTTTGCTTTGCTCACAATTTTGGGGGGTCAGGAACTCAGGACGGACTCAGATGAACAGTTCTGGCAGAGGCTGGCCATGAGCTTGTGCCGCAAGAGTAAATACAGAATGCTCCCACTTACTCGATCTGGCGTTCTGGTCTCTTTGCTGTTGGCAGTCCACAAGTTAGGTTTGGGCCTGGGTGGCTCATCACCTGTGATTGCAGCCAGATGATGGCTGAGGCTGCAGTCATCTGAAGGCCCTGCTGCAGGGAGCAGTCAGGGTCCCACCCATGCAGCTGACAGTTGATGCTGGCTCTTGGTTGGGGCTGATGACCAGAGCACCCACACAGGCCTTTCCAGCGTGGCAGACTCTGGGGACTCAGGCCCCTTACATGTGGATGGTGTCCCCCAGAGTGAAGGTCCCAAGAGAACCAGGCAGGAGCTGAGTGGCCTTTCATGTCTAAGTCTCGGAGTCATTCAGCATCTTTTCTCCATACTTTGGTGTCTGACTATGTCTCCAGATTCAAAGGGAAATGATCAGACCCACCTCTTCATGGGAGAAGTGTCAAGAGAATCTGGGGCCTATGTTTTTAGAATACCAGTGATGGCTAGGTGCGGTGGCTTACGCCTGTATTCCCAACACTTTGGGAGGCCAAGGTGGGCAGATCATTTGAGCCCAGGAGTTCAAGACCAGCCTGGCCAACATAGCAAAACCCCCTTTCTACTAAAAATACAAAACTTAGCCACATGTGGTGGTGCACACCTGTAATCCCAGCTACTCAGGAGGCTGAGGCACAAGAATCACTTGAACCCAGGAGGTGGATGTTGCAGTGAGCCAAGATCGTGCCACTGCACTCCAGTCTGGGTTACAGCGAGAGATGTCTCAAAACAAAAAAAACAAACCCACAGTGATGCTAGCTGTTGTAAAAATTGAACCTCCAAATTTCAGTGTTCTAACACAAAAGTTCACTTCTCATTGATTCTAAGTAGGTATTCCTCCAGGTGGATAGCTGTCTTCCAAGCAGTGCTCCATGGACTCATGGCCCTGCCATCTTCTAGCTCTGCAGTTCTTCAGCACAGGAGTCTAAGGTTGCTGTTTCTTTTTGCAGCCAGAAGAGAAAGGCACAAAAGGCACATAGAGACTCCTACTACCCAGGAGGGATTTTTTTTTTTTTTTTTTTTGAGACAGAATCTCACTCTATCACCCAGGCTGGAATGCAGTGGTGCAATCTCGGCTCGCTGCAACCTCTGCCTCCTGAGTTCTAGTGATTCTCCTGCCTCAGCCTCCCGCATAGCTGAGACTACAGGCATAAACCACCACACCTGGCTAATTTTTGTATTTGTAGTAGAGATGGGGTTTCACCATACTGGCCAGGCTGGTCTTGAACTCCTGACCTTGTGATCCTCCTGCCTTGGCCTCCCAAAGTGCTGGGATTACAGGTGTGAGTCACCATGCCCAGCCCCCAGGAGGGATTTTTGGGCCAGGTCTGGAGGTGATACACATGTCACTACCACCCATGTTACCCTCTGGCTGAACTGGGTCACATGGCCCCCTCTAACTGCAAGGGAGGCTGAGAAACAGGCAGGCCATCAGCTTGTGCCACAGAAGCAAATACAGAATGCTCCCACTTACCCGTTCCGGTGTCCTGGTCCCATTACTATTGGAAGTCCACAAATTAGGTCTGAGCCTGGGTAGGGCAGGGCTCCTGGTCAGAAGTTCTTTCTGCCAACTATTACTTCACAAGTCCAAGTTTGCACGTTGGCGCTGCATGTCCCTTTTGGCAAGGTCTGGGATAAAGTGCTGGAAGCAGCTCCAGGCAGTCTGGCTGAACTATTCCCAAATCCTCATTCCTGCTTCAATGCCACTTTCCGTTGCAGAAGCCAACAAAACCCTGCACCAGCACCTCGGGGCCCCTGAAGAGCGGCTTGCTCTTCACATCCTCAGGACTCAGGGGCTGGTCCCTGAGCATGTGGAAACAAGGACTTTGCACAGCACCTTCCAGCCCAACATCTCCCAGGTAAAGGGGCCCCCTGCCCTTGAAGACCCATTATCCCTGCCCCAAATGCAATGGCAATAGCTGACATGTCTGCCCTTTTATCTTGTTTGAGTACTTTTAGATGTACAGTAGAAATGAGACTCAAATTAGCTTCATACCAAAGGGGAATTTATTATAAGAATTCTCAGGTAACTCTCTCAATCTAGGCAGGAGATTAGCTATGACTCAGAACAAACCTGAACCAGGGTCTCTCTGTGTCTCATCTCTGTTTTTCTGAGTCTATTTAATCTGCCCTCTTGCTGTGATCCCCTTCCTATGAGTTCAAATATTAGAGAGTCCTTGAGTGTTTGTTGTAATGCAGCCCCATCTACTTCCAAATGCATAGGGATTTGTTGCCCAAATTGAACCACGATGTCTACCATGGGACCGCTCAGCTGCAGTGAGGTGGGCAGGGTCTGGGAAAGTGAGTGAGCTCAGCCTAGCTTAGGAGGTGCCATCTGAGACTAAAATGTCAGGGAAACAGGGACCATGTGGATAGCAATGGGGGACATTCCACTCCCAGAAGATGGGAGCAGTTTTCACAGAAGCAAAGTAAGACATGACCACTGACAAAATAATCTATGTGGACACTTGAGATAATGAAGATGTCCAGGCCATGCCTGCAGAGATTTGGATCCAGTAGGTCTAGGGAGGGTCCAGGAATTGGAATTTTAACAAGTACCTGAAGAGGTTCTGATCACACTTTAAGAAATAGTAATCTAATGGATGCAAATATTGTTGACCCTAACAGTGAAACTGTGGACACGCTGATTGCTAAAGGGGTGGCCTGGGCTTTCTAGATTGTTTTATCACATCCTTCTTCCTTTTATTTTGTTCTACATTTCCATTTCTTCCTTTTCTTGTTCTTCCTTTCACCAAAGAGCCTATTCCTCCTTCATTCTCTCCTCTCACCCCTTGGCTGTCTAAGGAATTTCAAGAAATGACAGAGTGAGGAAGACGTCTCCCTGGGAATCCACAAACCCCATCACTTCTGCCTACAGCATTAGCCACAGACTGTGGCTGGGTTTGGGGAGACACTGGACGCCTAATGTTCTGTAGAGTGCTTGATGAATTGTAGAGCCTGAGCCCTAGAGATTAGCTGGAGGAGAGTCGTAGTAAAATATGTCCCTTTTCAAGAGCTCCACTTAATGCATGTTTATCACAATGCTTTAGAAAGCCAACCTAGTGGTTTCCTTGGCAACTGTCTTGAAGATCAGTTTGTTTTTGTCTGAAGACAGAGTCTACAGAACATTCTAAAACAATTTGAAGAATATAAATTGGTTTGTATGGTTGGTATAGTTTTTTCATGGCATTCCTGGCCTGTCTGGAAGAACATTCGAGTCAGAAGGATGGGCCCAGTCTGAGTCAGTCAAAGAGCTGAGCAGGACCTCACCAAGATGGCAGCACAAACGTCAGTCTAGGCTTTCAAGTTGGCAGCACAAGTGTCAGTTCAGGCGTCTGCCTCTCCTTCCTGCTAGCCACTTACCTGGTGGTGGGCACTCATAAACCAATGGCAAGAAAGCCTTACCTTTTGGGAGCTGTAATGTTCATGTCATTGAATTCCTCTTTTGAAAATGCTATGTTGTAAGTTTTTCTTTTACAAAATTAAGTACCATTTTCACTAATTGCATTCATTACTTTGATTTTGTACTTTGAGGTAAGTAGAGAAACCCTTGGGTATGGCAAAACCGGGATTGGTGTCAGGTGGGCAATGTGATGATGGATAGAATAACTGCATAACTGCTGAAGGTGAAGGACCCAATTTTAAGTCATTGTAAGAGGATGTGCCTGTGTGCATGCCTGCTTGTGGAGGGTGTGTGTGTGTTGGGGTTGGGTTAGTGACAGGAAGTCCCCAGTTTTATTAACCAGGTGAGACTCAGACTATGATACAGGTGGGCACGTGCAGCCATCAGAGACCCCTGGGTGAGAATGGAAAGCCGGTGGCCTAAGTGACGTTGTACATACAAGATTAATCTTGGTCTGCTCTACTCCACTTCTTGCCTTCCATATGGACTAATAAATTAGAAGGACCAAAGAAACAGTTTTCCCCTAAGAAATATGAAAGAAAATTGTGGCTTCTGCTACCCGTCATATAACTTCAGTCCTCTTTTCATTTTCAAATGATTTAGGGGAAACTTCAGATGTGGGTGGATGTTTTCCCCAAGAGTTTGGGGCCACCCGGCCCTCCTTTCAATATCACGCCCCGGAAAGCCAAGAAGTAAGTCATCTTGAGACCCTGCTACATACACTGGGCTGGGGACTTAGTCCAGGACCACAAAAAAAAGTTACCTTCCAACTGTGCTTCTTGCAGATACTACCTGCGTGTGATCATCTGGAACACCAAGGACGTTATCTTGGATGAGAAAAGCATCACAGGAGAGGAAATGAGTGACATCTACGTCAAAGGGTAAGGTTACCGCACGAGAGACTTTGCCAAGCTCAGGCAAAGCTCAGACGCTATCCATCATGAGCTTTCATTACTGAATATGCCCAAGATAGGATTCTTGGTTTTTTGAAGGTATTTTATCTCATTAATGTGATCTGCTTAGGTAGCTCCTGGAAAGCAAAGGGAAGAGAATAGAGAAAGAGACAGCGAGACCTGTATGGACTTTGTTTATGAGCAAAGCTATGTAAGGATTATAAGAACTGATAAATACTTCTTTGTTTCTTTTTTAACAAAGTGGATTTTCTTCAGTTTCTTAAGCAGACTTATTATGTCTGGGACTTTCTAGCCATGTATTTTCTTTTTATTCCTCTTTGATACCCTGAATAACTAGCCTTCAAAACACAAGTACAGCTTCCAAAATTTCGTTTTCTACCTATTTTATTACCAGCAGCTCATGTCTGGAAAAGAGGAAATGTTCGCAGATTTCAAAAGAAGTCATTTATTCTACCAACCTGCACTGAGTGCCAGCATCCAATATGTCAAGTGTCATTGTAGTTCATAATTCTCTTGCCTAATTCAATTTCAGTTGTCTGTGTGGATGGCTGTGCCTCAATCATAGATGTTGAGCGCGGTACAACATAAAACGACTAAATTCTGGTACTTTCCCTGCTGGCTGGGCAAGGTTGTTAGCTTACTGTTCTTCATCTGTAAAATGGAGATAATGATTACTCCTCCTTCCCAGAGATATTCAGATGATCCTGTTATTCGAAACATTTAGGACAGTGCCTGGCAGATAGAACACACTCTGCGAGTGTTAGCTGGCATTGCTGCTATTCCACATAGACTGAGTTTGGTTCCTCGGTACATAAAAGATAAGACTTGTGACATTTAATATATTCATAAAGTAAGAACAAAGTTTCAGTTATAATCCCATGTGGCCTTCAATCAAAACTTTGTTAAAGATATAATTAGCATCATTTAGGTTCACTGTAAACGGAATGTTTCATCAGGTTCATTATTCTTTCTCATTTCGGATCTCATTACCATTCCCCGGGGAAAAGTAATCTCAGCTAATTATAGATATGCAAATTTATTTGACTATCATAAGCATTATTTTTTTTTTTTTTTCAAATCAGGGAAACAAACTCAAGTAATTCTGAACTGAGAGAAAACTCCTCTAATTAGAGAATAAAGCTCAACTTAAAGTACCTTGTAAAATTTGGAATAAAAACCTAAACACTATATGTGAAAAGATGGATCATGCATAAATCCCATGCCTAGCACTAGACACAGCTGGGTATTATGTTACATACCAAGCTATACCTACATGTACACAAATACATACACCTAGAGGATTCATTTGACTTGTCTTAAAATTAAAGTATGAAAAGATTGATGTTTAAAATTAAATGTGAAAATTCACCGAAAAAGAGAGGAAGAGCTGCAGAGGGTGAGCAGTCTAGGGAAAGATGGTGATGACTCTTAGGGGTGGGTCCAGACATGAGGCCGCCAAGAGAATGTGAACTCTCCTCACTGAGTTACTTTAAAAGTTACTAGTAAAAACTGGCCACGGTGGTTCACGCCTGCAGTCTCAGCTACTCAGGAGTCTGAGGCAGGAGGATCACTTGAGCCCCATAATTTGAGTCCAGCCTGGGCAGCATAGTGAGACCCTGGCTCTTTAAAAAAAAAAAAAAAAGTTGATAGTCAAAAGGAATCTCTCAACTCATTTATCTAGTCAGTTAATTGACTAGCAAAAAGGAAAACTACCGTAGCTGATTGATTGATGTTAATACCACTACTAATAATAGGACTTAATATTTTCGAGTGACTTTGTAGTCTCCATGGTTCTTTGAGGCAGAGTAACAGATGTGGACTTTGGAATCAGACTGACCTGGGAATCATACTTAGTTCTGTCAGTTCTGGGCTATGTGACCTTGTGCAAGTTATATCCTCTTTGAACCTCAGCATCCTCTTCCATATAATGGAGATGGATAGTTACACAGTTGTTGGGAAGAATAAAATAATGCGTGTGGCCAGGTGTGGTGGCTCACGCCTGTAATCCCAGCACTCAGGCCCACTGAGGTGGGCAGATCGTAAGGTCAGGAGATTGAGACCATCCTGGCTAACATGGTGAAACCCTGTTTCTGCTAAAAATAGAAAAAATGAGCTGGGTGTGGTGGTGGATGCCTGTAGTCCCAGCTACTCGAGAGGCTGAGGCAGTAGAAGCGCCTGCACCCTCAAGGTAGAGGTGGCAGAGAGCTGAGATCATGCCACTACACTCCAGCCTGGGCAACAGAGCAAGACTGTGTCTCAAAAAATAACAGTAATGGCCGGGCGCGGTGGCTCAAGCCTGTAATCCCAGCACTTTGGGAGGCCGAGGCGGGTGGATCACAAGGTCAAGAGATCGAGACCATCCTGGTCAACATGGTGAAACACCGTCTCTACTAAAACTACAAAAAATTAGCTGGGCATGGTGGCATGTGCCTGTAATCCCAGCTACTCAGGAGTCTGAGGCAGGAGAATTGCCTGAACCCAG